CTAGCCCACCCCATAAAAATAAAATGGTAGCTCCCTAAGCCATGAACAAATTCAGTATACTTACGATCAATCTTAGTCGTAAGTTTTTTTTGTGAAACCGACTCCTGGTGAGGTGTGATCACATTTCTCCAACATTTGATAATTAGGCTAATACAACATTAGGGATTAGGGGGTCCTCATAAGGACTGGCATCTTGATATTTACCTGCAATTCACCTGTTCTTAACTAAAATATTGTTAAAAAGGGTTATATTTTTAGGTAGATATATGGTTCTTCAGTGACTTTCTACGTACATACAACTTTGTTGTTGCGCATCGTTTTAGACTTGGACATCTACATGTAACCTGGTGATCGGACGCACGAAATTGATAAAGTATTTTTTTCACCATTTAGTTTCTATTAAGGAATGTTGTTTTTTGTTGTGGTTATTTTTTTGTCTAATATGTCTTATTCAGGTAGTTTAGTCCCTGTGAGGAGGGAATACAACAATGAGTGAGTTCCGGGATAGTGCATGAATGCTTCATTGTGGAGGAGGTTGAAAAGGTCGTATCACATGACCTTTCTCAAAGCCGAATACCCATAAATTGATATGACATGCAAATATGATTAACTTTATGACATAATCTCGTGACTTGTGTGTGTAAAACGGGACCGGACCCTGAAAAATGCGATATCTCAAGGGCATAAACAACAAATTGTCAAGGGTTTAATGTCAATGAAATTGATGAAACTTTATTGACCACACAATATTAAATAAAAGATATATTAAAAAAGACGAACAAAAAGACAAAATACAGAAAATTAAGAAGCTTTCACTGCATTACATTTCATACCAAACATATTCATATGAAGGGAGGGGGAGCTATCAAAAACTTCAAACGGTCAGTCGCCCGAGGTTCATAATTTCGCTTGGACAGTATTTGATTTCTTGCAATAGTTATCTATATATCTATATATAAAAAGGAAAACATAAGGAGATGATAGCAAGATGGACATACGTCAAAGAAAACACCATGATCGAACAAGTAAGATACAAAATGTACAAAGAACATTGCACAAAATACGATCTAGCAGCAGCACAAACAATCACAAAAATTCGGGGTGGGAAGGATAAAGGTTAGCAGTTCCTGCTCAACTAGTTACACACGCCGTATGGCTTCCATTTAAACAGATTGACAAAGGAATTCATCAAAGAAATTCAAACTATCAAATCAAGTCATGTTTAACCAGCATACTTTAACAAGAATATTTTCCACTGTAACAATTTATAACTGGACGTTCATAGTAGATTATTGTTAAATAAAATGTCAAGGTATGCACACATAACGGAAGAGACAACAGAATGGCGCACGATTCAGCTTATTTTAATTAACGTCATCCACCCCCAACTAAAATAGGAAAAGAATTAAATATTTATTTTGCTTTTTGAGTGTTTTTTCTATATTATCCTTCGGATTTCTTTGAACTTGGATATTCATGGCCATTTTGTCATATTAATAGTCTTGTTTTCTGTTAGCAAATCAATTTAATCAATAATGACGACGTTAAAGAACGAAAATAAAGTGTTTACCAATAAATAGTTCCGGTACAATCTGACAACAGCAGTTATTTGGACAAATCGTTACTATATATATAGTATATCATCGTAGACAGTTATTAGACACGCATAATTGGATTTCATGTTAGAAATTAGCTTAACTGTCATGTCAACGATCTGTAAATTATACATCCAAACAATAAAGTCTAAAGCGCAATGCTAAATGAATTGATAAGCATTAGCTGAAGGAAACATAAGCCCGAGAAAAGATAGCAAAAATCGAAAATGAAAATCTCTACGTTCATAATTACATATCAAAAGGAAATACTGATATTTATTAAGGAAGAATATATCTTGCTACAACTGTGGTAAACCCGCAACTATCGCGTCGTCAAATAAAATATATGTACATTTATATAATTTATGTAATTATTCAAATTCAAGTAAAAAAACTGAAAAAAGTTACACATAATTTACTCATAAAAACATACAAATCAAATTTGGCAATTCGTCTTGGCAACTTTAATGCTCATTGTGATATCACAACTTGCAGAAAACTTGTTCATTGTTTAATTGCACATTTAGGTCCAGCGGCAATTATCACATGCATATTTAAAACAATAACATGTATTCAATGTTAATACGTAATACTATGCTTTATGCAAGAAACGTGTTAGCTCACAGTGTACTAGTCCACAGTTTATTAATTTGTAACATTTAACATACATCTCCTTATTTATGTGTCTTTATTTATGTTTTTAAATACAATTCCCAATTGAAATTAAATAGGATTCCCAATGGGAAAATACAATGTCTCCACGAAAAAAAAACCCATAGTCATACAGTAATCTGATTCAGTATTCTAACTTCCGATCATCCATTATTTGCTCATCATGCTCATACTTTTAAATGCAACTTGTTTAGCGGAGAAGCAGACAATACCATGGCCAATTTCACAAGCGGTTTTTATACCCGGCCGAATATGTACCCGCGACCTCTCATATTTGAGAGAATCACGCTTCATGTACGTACGAACGTTTTAGACAGTTTTGACTAAATAAGGGGTAAGATGCCCTTCTGACTGCAATACGATCTACTAAGAAAGCCATAAGAGATAGCAATATTTCTAGAAAAGCTAAAGATATATGTGTCTAATAATGTGGTTTCGTCGTATAGAGCATAATTTGAATCTCCGTCCGAAACAAACCAATGGCTGCAATATTGATATCTGTTGCTTTTCCGCTAGTCACGTGATATTTTGGAGTAAAAACAAAGACTGTTTTCAGGTAGAGTGACATGTCATCCTTTTGACTACCATGTGAAGCAGCACGTACAAATCCAGCTCAACATGTTGGTCTTGTACAAAGACAGGTTCATATTCATTTAACATTAACATGTTATCGTTTTGATATGCATGTGATATTTGCCACTGTAGATTTAACAACAATTAATCCATTCATCCACTAAAACTATAATTCACTGTGGGAAAAAATGTCAATAAAGCATAACAAAGTTAAAGCGATTATTATCAATCGAAGTTAGTCACCTACATATAATTAGTGAGGAGTGCAAAAGAAATATAGTATTTAATATATGTAACAATGTCAACTGTACTTTTTGATGAAGTTAATTTTAGAAGCAATGTCTCTCCATTCTCTTCTTTAAACACTGCATATATTCAAGCTGTGTAACAATAATAAACCTTGTCTATAATAATGATGCAGTGATAATTTGGAACTACTTTTAGACTTTACTGGTCTCAGAGAAATTGTAATCTTTCAAATTGCTACATTGTAGGTGCAAACAAATAAATTGTTAATAATTAATTCCTGGTGATTTTGATATCAATTTTCATTCTTAATCTTAATTATTTCATGACATTGTGCTTCTATCATGTTAAGAATTCATTTTTTTGCCTGTTATTCGTTTAGTATTTCGGTATCGAAATGTCAATTTGTTTATTTTGTTGTTCTATCAATAAATAAATTGTAATTCAACTTCTGATGATAAATTGCAGAAATAATTTCATTCCGAAAGTAATTATCACCTCCGAAGCAAGGCGGTTTGTGAAGTTTAAAACATTGAATATAGAATTGTTATGGATGTTTCTACTAATAACTAAAAGGTCATATTAATTTCTTTAATAACCAGAATGGATTATGTTCCGGTCGTGTCAGCCCGATATATTCACTTTACTAACACGCAGATAATTATAATTTTAACAGAAATTAAATGGTGAATTTATTTTCTAAATAATAGTAACAGGAGGGGATGGAAATACAAGAAGTGGAATTAATAAACGAAATAAAAATAACAAACAATACACAGGAAACGTAAATATTTAGAAACACGATCTCACCAAAAACCAAGCATGAACACAGGTCAAGGTCAGCAGTATCCTTTTCACTGGCAATAGCCATGGTGCTACTCAAATAAAAATTCGATAAACAAATATATGTTGATATGGAATTTTATATTAAAGACCGGAAATGGCAATTGGCTAACCCTGAAACATTACCAAATCTATTGACCATCGGTACATGTAAGTTTCCTAACCCTGCATCATGTCTGTATATAATGACAGTGTTTTCTCAACAAACAATTATAGACAAGAACGTTACCGATCAAAACAGAACAGACACTGAAGTGTGGATGGATCGTTGTTGCATTGACAATCATACTGTATCTTCTTTTTTCATATTGAGAAATATAATATAACAGAGATAGATAACTAAAGCAACATGAAACACTTTAAGAGCCAATCTGCCAGAAAACCATGCAAAACTGTCTGAATGTCACTTTTTCCAAATGAGTTCATATTTGGCATATTGGTGCACCTTAGTAATGTAAATAACCACACAAATTTTTTTGGGAAAATATTGAACCGATCTGGATATTTTTTGAGCACCATGTTTTAACAGATGAAATTGCTCGAAAACAGCCAAAATAAGCCTTTTTTGGCATATTTCGCTGGTTTAAATAAAAAAATATGGTAACATTTATAATTTTTTGATAGTTGTTCCTAGTAATACATCACTTTAAGTGTAAGAATGCATAGAATTAACAATGCTGTCTATTAAGTGTATGTATAATCTAACTGTTTCAATATGTCTTATTTAGCTACATGTCCAAAATGGCTGATTTTGGTCATCTTTCAGATCCAAAATACTCCAAGACCCGTTTATTATTGTAAAACAACATATCTACTTGCAAAGTATAACTATATATACCCAATCAAAAAAAATATCAAGCTCGGCAAATAATGTTGGTGTCTGGTATATGCCACAACAAAATGGGGTAACCTGCATATTCAAATTTTCTCAATTTTGCCGTCTAATTTGTAACTACTGACATATGATAGGATCTGGACTTATAAATAAGTATAACAACAAATGGAAAAGAATAATTTATGTTTCATTTAATACATTAAGAAAATAATCATACATAAATACAAATCATTCATTATAAATCTAGAGGCTCCCAGGAGCTGAAATAGATCGTATTGACAAATTGTGCACCTAAAACGATAAAAAACACATATTTCAAACGCAATCAATTTGAATCAGAAGTTAAACAATTCAGAATAAGTTCAGACTGTAAAAAAAAAGTTTCTTCTGACCACTTTTGCAATTTATTCTTATAATATATTGATATAGTTGTCGGATAGTAGCAGAAAACTGTGAAAATTTGTAAATTTACACATTTCAGGGACAATAGCTCATAGATGTTATGTCCAATTTTTCAGAAAAATTTTGGGTATTCAGATCTTGTCATGTTGATAGTTTTTAAATTTTGTATACATATATATATGTATGACACTTCTTCTAAAGTTATTAAGATGATGGTTTAAAAGTGAAAACTGTAAACAGATGATTTAAACAGACACTTAGTGATGGAAATTTTTTTATGACCCTTTGAGCCTAGTATGCTAACAAGGCAAGATTTGCCAGGTACCTATATCTATGTTGCTGCAATGTGGTCAATACAAACATGAAAATCATAAGTGCTTCTAAAAAAAAAATCCCATAACTAGACGAAAAACAAATTACTTAGTCTATATATACCAGTGCAAAATTTATAAAGAATTTTGAATGAAATTGGATAGCTGTTAAGATTACTGTACCTATAATGCTCTACATCACATCCTCGGAGATAACAGAATTAAAATAAGTCATATGAATCTTCAAATTTCAATAAAGTTGAATGTGTTTTTTTATACTTGAACGGCTATAGGTTTTACTATAAAACAAGTGTACATTAACTTTCTTGTAAAAGAAAAACCATAACATTAAAATCTCCATAAATGATGAACTGTTATTTTTTGAGACATCATCCGATGGAAGATTTAACTGATGTTTTAAAGTTGGAAAGTTTCTGTTGCTTGTTTGGTTGGTTGAAATTGTTTCTGTTAGAAGCATTATCAGTCTCCCAATCTGATGTTGACTGCTGTGAAAGTTCAGTTGTTGTTGACACTGACAGAAAGGTTAGCTGCGAGTCTAAATCTGAAAACCACAAAACATACATACATAAATCAGGCTGTTAGTTTTCATATTTTTTCATTTTCTTATTTTGGGGCCTTTTATGGCTGAATATATATGCAGTATAGGTCTTGCTCATTGTTGAAGGCCATATGGCGTATGAAGACCTATAACTTTACTTCTATGTCATTTGTTCTCATTGGCAATCATACCACATTTTTTTTTTAATTTCATATATACCACTGACAGGAAATAAAATTGACAACTTTTACTGTAAGTGGATGCAGTTACAAAATTCTCCCAACTAAAGCCAAATCAATTTTGCAGAATAGTTATTTTCCACTCCTTGTAAGCATGTCCAAATAGCCCTTAACATCTTTACAACAATAAAAATTGCCTCCATTTGGTTTGGCATGTCAAATTACCTCTCAATATAATTTTACATTGAAAACAGACAATGGTGATAATTTGACTGCTTTTAGTGACAATCTTTGAAATGGTGGCCATCTTTATATCTGTTCTCTGTGTCAAAGTACAGCTAAATATCAATATTCTTTAAAATCAAACTCAACAAAATTGAAAATTTTACTCTTTATTTTCTGTGTCCATCTTTAAAAAAAAAATTTCATTGTTTTGTTGGCATGTCAAAAGTGCTATAATTCCTTAATGTCAATTTTCATATAAGGCCATCTTGAAAATGTTTGCCATTTTGGAAGAAAAAACAACCTTACTTTGTTTAGCAAGTCAAACTACAACGACTATCCCTAATTAACAATTTTCATTAAATTAACCAGAGTTGAAATTTGTGCCATCCTTGGTGGCCATCTTGAAAATGTTTGACATCAGATAATCATCCACATATTGTGCTTTTCTTTTCACTAACATGACTAAAGTTTCATTTAAAAAGATAACACCAGTTATCTCAGAAAAAGACAAATTTTGTGGTAGATGAAGAAAAAATGCAAGTTTGGACAGAACATTCAAGCTATAACAGCTCTAAATTTGTAATGGGATTACATATTTGACAAAGAATAGGTTTCTAACACAGAATAAATATGGTATAAAGATAAAGTTTAATAGATTCAGCATATCAGAGAACCCTAAGATCAAATTAAGATTATAAATTTAGTTTAATTTTGGACCCTTTGGACCTCAATGTAAACCAATTTCATAATAGGGCCCAAAAACTAAATACAGGTTAGATTCAGGCTGAATCAGCATCTTTAAAATTATTGTTGAAATCAAACACAGTTAAATTATGGACCCCATTTGAACCAACTTGAAAACTGGGACCAAAATCATAAATCTAAGTACATATTTTTATTCAGGATATTTGATTATTTCTATTTATCATTCAAAGAACCCTAATTCATTGTAATTAGAGTTCAAGTTTTGTTAAAATTAAACTAAGTTAAAATTTGGACCCTTTGGACTTTAAAATGTGGACAAATTTGAAAACCGGACCAAAATTAAAAATCTAAATATAAAACATTTGCATTTTGTATATCAAAAGAACCTCAAGAATTCAAGTTGTGAAGAAATAAGAAAAAAAATTTTGGACCATTTTGAAATCAATGTGAACCAATTTAAAATGGGGCCCAATTGCAACATCTTAAATTATTTAAATACATTGTTAGATTTAGCATATTAAGAACCCAAATAATGTATTTATTTTAATTTGTTCTTGTCCTAAACATGCATGAACTATTTGCCATTGGACATTAGCATTACCAACAACCAATCAATTAATCAAACAGGTGAAATATCTTCAAAAGTACCAATAAAAATCTCCCCCTTTTATATTTGAAAAAGTAAAATCACAAAAATACTGAACTCCGAGGAAAATTCAAAAAGGAAATTCCCCAATCAAATGGCAAAATCAAAAGTTCAAACACATCAAACGAATGGATAACAACTGTCACATTCCTGACTTGGTACAGGCATTTTCTTATGTAGAAAATGGTGGATTGAACCTGGTTTTATAGCTAGATAATAAACCTCTCACTTGTATGACAGTCGCATCAAATTCCATTATATTGACAACGATGCGTCAACAAAACAAACAGACACAATAGGTAAAATTGTCAAAAATAGGGGTACAGCAGTCAACATTGTGTTATCATCTTAATCACTATAAAAACAAACAAATGTAACGAAGAAGCACAAAAAGGCATGCATCAAATTTAACATCCTCATTTTGCTTATATTATACGATTTTATATATCTATGTAAAATCAACCCATAAAGGATGGAAGGTTTTAAGTACTGGCGTAAAATCGCGCGTTTGAAATTCGCACAGGTAGACATAAAATAATTTTGTCGTTCAAAGTATGACAGGATACATAAATAGAGAGTCACGTAAAATGGATATCACAAAAAACAGAGTTAACAGTAAAAGTAATACGTATTAATAAATAAAATAATTGAAATGGAATGTATGAACAGTTGATTAGTCATTGTTAGTTATTGAATGGAAACTATAGGAGCCGCCCAATATAGTACTACAAATTAAAATTAGCGAAGTGATTTTTCAATGGGTAAACCAAGTTAACACAAAGACCTGTTTAATAAAACTGATGTACAAATGTATAACATGTAATTGTATAATTATGTTATTATATAAGTGATTACATATACTTTGTATGATTACCATGTTATACAAACAGTTAAATTAATATATAAGTTAATAATAACTTACCAATATCTTCTTCTATACATGTATTTAGTTTGACCTGGCTATTGTCACTTTTACAAAAATTCATCTTAATTGAGCATTGCTTGCATATATATAGCCCTACAAATAAAAAATGTTAAACTATAAAATAATTCTTCAATTTTGTTTTACATGAAATAAAATATATCAGACAGGAAATGTAGGGTAGTGTAGCATCACTGTGCATGTAGTTTAAATGTATGTTTTTTTCTTTTAAAAAGGGCTCTATAAGTAATCTACATACATGTACATGTACATGTAGGGTCCTAAAATTGAACTTTACAAAAGTTTGCAATGCTTTTGATTTTTTTAGTCTCCATGGCCTATTAGTTCATTAAAAAAATATTCTTCACTGGATAAAGTTGTCTAGTGTTACATGTACAGTATGTTGTATGTAAAACATGTATTTGTAGGAGGCTTTTCCACGAGATAAAAGTTTTTTAGTAGACAAAGAGCTGAACAACTTCCAGTAAGAACTGAAAATATAACTTAGGGGAAGAGAATAAAAACCTGACCTGCTAAACGTTGAATATGTTGAAATAGATTTTGATTATTATCATGATTCTGGTCTATAAATTGATTTTTTAAAGCAGAAAATAAATATATATTGTACCCTGGTTAATAGCTTGAAAATTAAAATTCTGTTTTAAGCTGACAAGGACATAAATATTTTGACCATTCTAACCCTCCCCCTTGCTTTTTTAATCAAATGGTCCCAAGACAGAACAATGTATATACGGATATATATTATTGGCTTGCACTTTGCCATAGGAAATAAATAAGATGTCTTAGAAACAGGTCAGGTGTAAAAGAATATTCGCATGCCCCTTCAACACCCACCCCCCCCCCCCCCCCCCCCCCCCCCTTTTTTTAATCTAGCTAATGTATCAATTGTTGGTCCCCTAATTTCAGATTGACTATATGGAACAAATGAAAATTGATTGTAAGATTTGTACCTGTTCCTACTGGAATAACTCGTCCTGTATACAGCCTGTTTTGAAAGGGTGAAGATCCTTGGTCAGCTTTGGCTTTGCTGGAAGAGGGTTGGACGAGATGTTGACATCTTGCTTGACTATCATGTCAATGAATTCCATAAAAGTCCCTGTACTTCGAGCATATTCAAAGACAAGATGATGTAACAACCATGGGAAAATAAACCACTCCTCGTCTTATATAAAATAAGGAGTCCTGTTGGAAATTCTACACCCTAGTTTTCAGTATTATTCAGACTTCCTAAATGTAGATGAATGGTAGTCTGTATCTGTATAAATATGTTTGGTTACCAATGCTGGTTTCAATACCACGGTAGAGAGAGTGTCGTTGATTTATTGATGGTGCACCAGAGCAGTTTTGACACTCTCAGTCTCAATCTCAATTTTGGTGCGAGCAAGGTGGTTCCACTCGCTCACTTTTTTTTTACGAAGAATGATTTAGAATACTTTTGTTTTGCTCGTTGAAATCTAAAAACACTTTTTGCTGCATGTTGATGGACTTATTTTTCCAATCAATATTTATCATGTTTATTCACTAAATTATTGTCATGATTGTCAAATTTCTTGGCAGTAATTTATTTTTTTGGAAATGTTATTTTGGTCTTTAGTGCATTCAGATATCTTAAACAGTTTGTAATATGTAGATGTATAAGGCTGGGATAGCCCACATGCTCATCCTAGATTATTAAAGTCACAAACTTCACTGTAAACATTTGTCTGTCAAACCATCACTGGGAGCTGACATGTTTGAGATCTTACCCAAGGGAGATAAGTCAATGGAAGAGCATAAAAGATGGACTCCCTGGTTTCAGACAATTTATTGATTTTTGGACTTGCAGTACAAATACGTCTTATTTCATTTTTCAGACAAATTGATTTTACTTATTCGAATGATTTTATGGGCCATTTTAGTACCAATTGTGTTCAGAATTTAATTAAAATCAAAATCAAAATGTGTCAATTTGGGACTAAAATCACCATTCTTCCAAGGCATAAATTAACATATAATAGTCATTTGCCAAGCTTAATATTTTGTTTTGATATAAAACATACCCCATAGTTAAAACCGATATAAGTTGCAAACAAATCCGGAATGGGTCTTGCAAGATAGAAGCGAATGAAAACCACGTAAATTCATGTATGAAAAACCCCGCCTTTGTCTCCCTGCTCCTGGCAATGTGCCAAATCGTTTAAATTTTCATTTGTATTGATCATAACATAGTAAAATGGATGAGTTTCAGCTGACATTACTCTTAAAACTCAACTATCCCATTTAATATGCTTCTGGGTCATTCTTAAAAGGCATAAAAAAGTTGAATTTTTCCTTGGTTTCATTATGAATTTACAGAATTATGCAAATGAGGCTGTTACTAAAAATAGATACGATTCTGGGAAAAATTAAGTGGTCAAATTCTTTTATTTTATGTCAAGGATTAAGATGATGTATAAAAATTTGTCAAGTTGTGATTGTCGATTTGGACGATTTTCTGAATATTGCATGGTTTTCTGGCGGATTGGCCCTTAAACAACTTTAGGTGATCAACATCGTGGCTCTAAAAGGGCTAGCAAGTGGCATCCAATTAAACCAGCCGGGGTAAGCCTTATATGTTGACAGTTGCTTAATGCAAAACGAATGTATCATATTTGGTACTTAACATAACGCTGTCGAATTCGTAAACAGCTGCAGGCTATAAAATATTTATTTGTAATAATATTTTTTTCTTCCGAAATGCAGGCAGATCCATATATTAAGAGACAACATTGTTTATACTTTGTCAAAATTAAACTTCACAAAATATTGTATTCACTAAAACAATATGCATAAGAGTACTACAAGAAGTTATTATGAGAAGCTAAAAAAGGACTATCACCATATATTGTGTTGTCAAGTGTTACCATAAATGAAGTCATGCATCCCCGCCCTTTTCTCGGTATGGTGCGTTTTTTCCCGGTACGTATTATAAGTAGATATAAGAAGATGTGGTATGAGACAACTCCCCATCCAAGTCAAAATTTATAAAAGTAAACCATTATAGGTCACTGTACGGTCTTCAACACGGAGCCTTGGCTCACACCGAACAGTAAGCTATAAAGGACCCCAAAAAATTACTAGTGTAAAACCATTCAAACGGGAAAACCAACGGTCCAATCTATATAAAAAACGAGAAACGAGAAACACTTATGAACCACATCAACAAGGACTGCATAACGCGTGCTAGGATAATGACATATTTGTTTACATCTGCTATTTTTAGAATGATCTGTATTTATAAGGAAAGCTCAAGCTCAATTCGAATGTTAAAACACTCATCAAAGATACAAGGCATATATCTAAGTATTCACAAAACGTGTTTCATCTTTACAAGACTCACCAGTGGCATTCGCATAAAAAAACTCATTTCAGACGGAATAGCACACCCTAAATTTTACGGTGATGTTGTTTACCGAGCCCGGAAATTTATATACGATCCGGGTAAACTTATCAATCTTTTAAATAAACTTATTCTAAAAGGTTACCAATTCAACACTGTAATTAGATCTTTGAATATTGTTTTATTGGTATAAATATTGATTTTGTTATCAGTAAATTAAAATCATACGAATAGTTTTGTTATACACATATGCACTTTAACGGTACTGCAATCTGTCGATCCTTTATTTTGGCATTGCATAAGGTCATGTTTTTCTCTGACTGTTAATGACGTCTTTAAACTAAATCTATTGGATGTTGGATGTATAGTGATTGATATTTTAGTCAAAGATACATGATTTTTTTTATAAGTTGTTATTGGCTTTGAACTAGCGAGTACTCTCAGATCTGTACTTAGTGTCCTTTTTGTTGTTAGGGATGAGGGATTGATAAATACCCTGCCACGTCCGGCCTGTGTTTATGTTTGATGTTTTTCTGCTTTGTATCGATCTGATGAGTTTAGCCTTTTTCAACTATATTTTATAGTTTGATCTTATGTTGTGCTGTTAAACCACTGTCCCAGGTTAGGGGAGGGTTGAGCGCTCACACACATGTTTAACCCCACCACATTCTTTATGTGCCTGTAACAAGTCAGAAGCCTGTAGTTCAGTGGTTGTCGTTGGTTGATGTCTGTCATATTTGTTTTTCGTTAATTGTTTTTTTTTTATATTAGGCCGTTAGTTTTCTCAATTGAATTATTTTATATTTTTCATGTCGGGGCATTTTATAGCCGACTGTACGGTATGGTTTTTTCTCATTGTTGAAGGCCGTACGATTGCCTATAATTGCTTACATCCACTTTATTTGAACTTTGGTGGATAGTTGTCTCATTGGCAATCATACCTCATCTCCTTATTTTTATATCGAGGCCTCATCAATTACAAAGTTGAAGAGCATTAAAAATCAAAAGGTTCAAAAACTAGTCAAGACAGTATGCATAAATACAGATGAAAGTACAATCAATCATTATAAAAACATAAAAAAAGTCACGCATGTATTTTTAAATGAACAACTTTATCAAATGTATCCTGTAATGCTGGTTGACATTTAGACAAATAGTTTCGTGCAATTCAAGTCTTATAAAAATATATCATTCAGATATAGAAATGAAATATAGAAAAATATATACAGAGGGAGATCGGTATCGTTTTCAAATCATGCAGGACCTAGTAACATTTGAAATGTTATTCAACACAAGTTGATAACAAGACTCAAATGTCAATCACAATCTAATGTAATTGAATTGTCACTTCCAATGAAGTCATCTGTTACATTTAAATGTCAAATTTACGCGTCATCTTAAGCATGACATTTCTAAGAAAATTAGAATATAATCAAGTTTTCTTCGAACGAAATTAATTGTATTGAAAATTCTATAAGATTTTTATTAAATGAAATGAAATTATCCTACATGTTAATAATAAAAGGTAAAATTGACAAATAGCTAAGAAAATAACATATGTCGCCATATTGAAAACTTCTTTTCTTTGACAATAGATATAAGTATAGATACACTATAGATTAGAAAAAAAAGACGATCGTTGTAGCACATATGTTTAAATTATTCCTTTGTTCAATCTTAGTGGTAAATATAGGGCACTGAGGATGGGAAAGCTAAAATGTGAAACAATATCTAGGCTTCTGTCATGATGGAGCAGACAGGAAACTTAAGGTAAACAGTGAGAAAACATTAAGGACCTAAATGTTAACTTTTTTTTTGTGTGAAGTACATTACTGTAAGAAAAAACGTATTAAAAAGTTTGTTCATTCTGTCGTATCATATAGAATGATTTAGAAGAAGCTATATTATGATACAAATAAAAGGAAACAGGCTGCTAGTATTCAGAATAATTATGCTGTTAAACCTTATTCAAACACTGTTGAAATAAAGTCAAAGAAATAGCAACACATAATATTCCCGACCCCTTTTCACTGGTGTCATGGGTACTCTTTCTGTAACATAAGTAATTACTGAGTTTGAATATAAATATTTAGTCCATAATTGTGTTGTCTGTCATTTGATAAATGTTCTTTTCAACAAGGAATGTGGAGTTAAACGGAAAGTCGCCATCCCACTTACCGATACATTGTTCAGCCAATTTAAGTAATCTCTCTCTATATATATATCAAGTAAACAGGATACAATTTTGAGAATAACTTTTATATGTAAGTTTTTTAAAGAATAACTTCTATTCTATGTCTAATTTTATGTTTCACATATTATGCAACTTCTTGACAAAAGGAACTCTTAAAATTGGAATTTAATATAAATATACATTAATATACTACAGATATTTTATGACTTTACTTTAATCAATGAACGAGTTCCTGGTGCGAGAGAACAAACTTAATAATATGTCTCATATTTTCAGCTCATAAATGTTCTGAGTTCGTTTTGTTGGTTTTTATAGCAACATGCATGAGTGAAACAAAATGTAAAATATGCGTAAAATATCGAAAAATAAAACCTGTAATCATCAATATATACCAAAAATAGAATGGAACATATTTCAAAATAGTTATGCTTTGCGACACAATAATATCTGAAGGGTATATATGATAATAATTACATTACTTCACAATTTATGTTTCATGAAAAATCATTGCTTTTGATTCGTTGAAAACTATATCGCGAGGCAGTTAAGGAATGACTTTAATATCCCTTTTGTCTATGAAGAAATAACATAAAAATGTGGTGCACAATGAATAACCCGCGTAGCGAGTTATTTGAATGTGTGCACAACATTTTGGAGGTTATTTCGAATAAACAGAAACAATATTACAGTCGTTCCTTATAATTGAATTCTAAATTCCCTTTTTAAGAAGTAAATCATGAAAAAACGTTGATGACGTCACGGTCACATGACAAATTATGTCTATGAATTGATAGACAAAAAACTTTCAGCCAATCAGAAGACGTGTTACATCCAAAATTAAGTTATTCCAATATCAAATTGTATTGCATGACGGCACGTGCTTCTCATGACAACTTCACAATAACGATAGGAAAAACAAACGAAAAGCTTTTATA